GGGAAATGAGGTGTTTGGTGCTTGTGCAGTGCATATACGCGCGGTCTTCTGTATGTGGGAAAATATCACGCGCCTGCCTGTTTTGGTTGGGTTTTCGCTGCGACCTCTTGCGACTTTCTGCGATTAGTTTTGCTTGCCGTCTCGAGGGAATGCATTACTGAAATGGACATTCAAAACAAAAGTGTGGCTCGCCTACGTAGACGACAGATTCGTCATTATAAAGACTTGCGACGTCGAACGGCTGCACCAAAGTCTAAATGGGATCTTCTCCAAAATACAATTTAGCCGCGAAGTGGCAACAGGCAATAGCCGCCCATTCCTTGACATGAGAAAACAAAGACTCACAGATGGCGAACTGGCAACACCCGTCTACCGCCGTTTAATGTCGCCAAATGCAACATTATGCGCTTTTGTAGTTCCAACTCTTCGTATCGGATGATATACCACCTAAATCGCACGCCGTTGGCAGAGGAAGAGACCCAGAAGAATCTAAGGGTATGGTTCACGCCCTCACTAGAACCATCACTCCACTGCTCGAAGGTGGCCAAGTCCGCAATGTCCACCTTGCATCTCATGACGCGTGCCTTTGAAAAATTCGATGAAATATGCTTTGATAATGTCTTTAGGAAGTTCCTAGGATCCCAATCGAAGTTAGCCGTACAAGCCTGAAAAACCTTGGACAGTCAAAGACAGAAGAACCCTTGAAAGGTCACAACGACGCACAACTAAGTTGGTGCGACTGACCAATCTTGACTTATTTCCTCTGGATTATAGGCAGCTACGCGGTGACGTATTACAAGCATTTCGCACGCTGCGGGGTCAGGATTGTTGCCTGGCATCCAAAGATTTCTTTGGGCTGGCCACTACCAATAGCTTGCGCGGACACCCTCTCAAACTACGTGTGACTGGAGCAAGATTGGAGACACAAAAAGTCTTCTTCTTTAAGAGGGTAATTCAGGCGTGGAATGCTCTGCCCGCAGACATTGTCGTGTCCCCATCTGTGGACACGTCTAAGATGAAGTTGGACCAGTATAGCAAACACATTCATTGAATTGAAGCTAGAGTAATTACATACTCCTCGCTATTTTTCAGCAATATGTTTGTTTAGAATAACTACCGAGGATTGTGATGGGCTCCCGTGTTTCGTCATCTGGTCGGCAGACCCGCTAACCAGCCAGGGCGTATGATGGGTGCATCTCCGACAAACGGTGATGTTCTCGTGACCTCCGCGATCTTCTCCTCGTGTGACCCTTTGGATATTGAAAAAGCCGCGGTGGGCTCCTCTTGACATGCTTAAAACACTCAGCAGCAGATCATCCGATTTACATATACCTAGAATTACGAACAA